AATAAATAAATAAATAAATAAATAAATAAATAAATAAATAAATAAATGACTTTTCTTCCTAGGGCAAAATCTGCCCCATTATCCTGAGGGAGAGCCCAAATATAATTTTTATTTCCACACTTTTGTCCTTGGTCTGAGATGGTGAAAAGATAATGAGTTCCTGGAAGGATGTGGACCTTGGTCCGTGTGCAACAATGTCCATCCTGCTGTGGAATCCAGCTGGGGGGTTACATATTTATGTACCCATATGGTGTCTATGGGTATGAATAGTCATTTACTGGAACCCTTAATGCAAGCATTTGGAATCTATATGTTACGTGTTCTTTTGGGAGAAGCTAGGCTGATGATTGGGATGTTCTTTTTACAGATCTAGTTTTCTGGGAAAAAGGATTGTTTAATGATTGATTTGTTTAGCTATGGAACACCTTGAGTTTCGTAAGATAGTGATGAGGAGGCTGAGAATAATAATAATACTTCCATATATTTCCTTAGATCAGTGTTTCTCAACCTTGGCAACTTTAAGACCTGTGGATTTCAACTTTAAGATCTGTGGACTTCAACTCCGAGAATTCCCCAGCCAGCAAGGCTGGCTGGGGAATTCTGGGAGTTGAAGTGCACACATCTTAAAGTTGCCAAGGTTGAGAAACATTGCCTTAGATCATTCAAAGCATTTTATATTTATTATCTGGCTATTCTGTTGTTCCAGTGTTGTGGATGGGGGGTTGAAACTGAATCGGAAGGAGAGATGGAAGACCTTTTTTCTGGCTACAAGTGCATTTCCTTAGGACTTTCATGGTAGCGATGGGTGGGACCACAGCAATGGGTGGAGGCCTAAGTCTGCATGTCCCCCCGCCCCCTTAAAATCACACCAAAAAACCTGGCTGAAAATGTTCAATGTTGGCTTTGCAGTAACATCTCAGCATTACCACATGGCCTTTGGTGGCCCTTTAGAACAGAAGCTGAGTTGTGGCCTCCGACCTCACAGAGGATGCTTGTTCCTGACTGAATCTCTAGCAGTTTCCAGCAGTAATCGACCCAGATTCCTAAACACTCTCTGGCAGAGCAGGATTTTCTTAGCCCTCCTTTGTAATCCGCTCAAACCCTCAGATATTTTGCATCTGAACATGCTGGCTCCACCAAGCTACTAGTATTTCCAGTTCTTCAGTTTGTCTAGTCCAGCATTCCCCAATCTGGCATCCTCTAGAAGTGTAAAGTGATGACTTCCATATTCCCTGGTGATCATTCCCTTTGGATATATTGGTTGGGGATCATTAGAATTGTATAACACATTGGGAAGGCTTTGGTTTGGGAACAACAGGTCTTCCTGAGAAATCCTCAAGGAGTTACCATGATGCCCAACATCTACCTTGTGGCATGCTTTGAGTCAATCTGGCTCTTGTAGCCTCCCCAACAAAGGATCCTGGGAATGCTAACACATCAAAAGTGTTTTTAATTTGAATAGAGTGTTTTTCAGCAAGATTACCGTTCCCAAGAATTTTTGAAGGAAATCCACAATAGCTAAATGAGTTTTTTAAACCAATTGAATGTTGTACTGCTAACTTTCTTGAACACAGGGATGGGCAGACTTAGGGTTTTTGAACTGTTTTTACTAGAATCTCCAAATCCATCACCTGGAGGTTAGGTGACACATAGTGGCTCAGAAGAGGAAGAAGGATGGAGGGAATTAAGAAGCAAAAGTACCCCTGAGCATAGTTTAGTGCTGAACTGGCAGTCCTTTCACATGAAATCCCACTTCTGATTGTTTTGCTTTGTTTTCTTACATCTCAGCAACATCATTCTGAGGTAGAACAGAATTTGATCTTGCCGCTTTTGCTAAATAACTAGGAGTCAGAAGCGCATCTTGATCGATTGAAAACCATCAAGAGAACTATTTAGATGGGAGATGTATCTACTACATCTGGACAAAGAGGCCATGTTGGGGAGGACTGCTCTACCCATTAACCACAAGCATGGGCTCATCTCTCTTCCACCTTGGAATGTCAGTAATTTTTTCAGAACTACTACAAGGAGGTGAAGCAGGTTACAAATTCACCCTAGATTCAAACCTAGAATCTATTTTTATTGCCAAAGAATTTGATTCAGTAACGCGCATCAGTCTAGTGCAGTACTGGCTGGGGAATTCTGGGAGTTGAAGTCCACACGTCTTAAAGTTGCCAAGGTTGAGAAACACTGGTCTAGTGAATTCGGTGGCATACAAATCACTACAATAAATAAAGAAAAGCATTTGAATATGAACAGACAACATTTCTACTTAAATTAATAACCAGCGAGATCAGGCTTTTACTGTGGGTATCTAGCAAGTTTTGAACCACTGGAAACACGGTGCGGATGCTCAGAGATCCTCTTTGATACTCACTAAGGCTTAGCCCTTCCTGCCTTTCAAAGAGGATCCAAGACAAGCCTTGGGCCATGTAAGATCACAGAAGCATTTTCTCTGGTTTTCTGCGTGCTTAACATCGTCTTAAAGTTGACAAGGTTGAGAAATACTGATCCAGAAGTTTCCATTGGTGTGAAAAGCTGCAAATACTGATTGGGGCAGGGTAACTTGATTATATTCTTGATATCGAAATATCTCTGCTAGGTGCCATGTGCTTTTCAGACACAGTTCAATGTGTTAACATGTAAATGCCTATACGGTTGATCCTGGCTCTCTCACTGATTGCCGATATTCTATGAAGCTGTCTGGCATTGACTATAGGGTTCTTTTTGTAGATGCCCACTGACCCAGCTTATGAGAAAGGGCATTCTGGCAGCATGAATGCCTCTCTGCCCACTCGCTTTGCTTCTGGGAAGACTGCCCGAGCGCTTTTTAAAATTACGGTTTGGGTCTCGTGTTCGTTGAAAGGGCTGATGCGTCGATTCTGTTGTTCAGTGGACGGTTCTGTAGTTGTTACGCTATTATTTCTGTTCTTACCAGGTGATAGTTCTCATCTCATCTGTGAGCATCATCTGGACGGCTTTCCCTTGCTGTAGCGCCCTTCATTCATGTAGACAGGACTCTGGAGCCGTCAGTGCAACGGCCCCCCGCGCATGACGCACGGCGGGCGCTGAACAAAAGCTGCCGGGCGGGGTGCGACCCGCAG